TCCCAAGCGGCACACTCTCCAGTGCGCCACCGGGCCGGCCCAGAACAGGGGATTTTTAGGGCAGGGAAACTACCCTGTGTGATACAGGGTATCGTGATGGTGGGCACGTGTCATTAAACACTTGTCCAAACCCACGGAGTGCACAGCACCAAGAGTGAACCCACATGTGAACTGTGGACTCTGGGTGATAATGAGGTGTCAATGCGGGTTCACTTTGTCACAAATGTACCTCTCTGGTGGGGGTGGGGGGTGTTCCTAGTGGGGGAGGCAGGGAGGGGTGGGTGTGAGTGGGAAATCTCTGTACTTTCCATTCAGTTTTGCTGTAAACCTAAAACGGCTCTCCAAAGTATAGCTTTTTTTTTTTCAAAGCAAAGCTAAAAAAGAAGGATTTGCATCTTTCCCATGGCAGGAAAATGCGGGAGGAATGGAAGCCCTGTGTTAACACAGATACCACGGAGAGTCCACAGCCACGCTCAAGCGCTGCAAATGAAAGAAACAAGCACTTGCAGGCAGAGTTTTATTGGTTTTGCAAAAGCTTTTAAGAGCACATTAAAGTTACCTGTTTATAAAAACAGGGAAAACACTTGGAGGAATACTGGGGAATGGGAATTCGTCTGTCTGACCCTCCACGTGGCGGCCAAGGAGTTTAAAGGTTTCTTTCATTGAAGTAAATGAACCCTTTATAACAGGCAGGATATTATGCTACTTAAAAAAACAGATTAAGAATTTCATGAGGCAAGGTTCATTTCTAATTATGTTAAACATTAGACACATTACTAGAACTTTCCTTTCATTTAGCCTGGGACTTCCATGTGTATTAGGGAGTTCACACTGGTCCTCGAGTGAATGCTTTTCTATGATTAAATTTTTTAAAAACCTGACAAGGGGCTGGCCCGGTGGCGCACTGGAGAGTGCGCCGCTTGGGAGCGCGGCGGCGCTCCCACTGAGGGTTCGGTTCCCATGTGGAGACCAGTTCCCGCTCACTGGCTGAGCGCGGTGCGGGTGTGACACCGAGGGTTGCGATCCCATTACCGGTCAGTAAAAAAGACAAAAAAGGAAA